GTACTCGACCGCGTAAGCGCCCAGGGGCCTCAACTTAGAAAATCTCTATTTTTTAGGGGTGGGCGCTTACCCGAGCACCCCCCTCAAAAAAAAGAGTGCAAATGACAATTTTGATTCATCATGTGACGGATTAGGTCGTTGAGGGAAAATCAAATTTACGAAATTAGTCATTGATTTTCACAATGAAGAAACAGAAATGATCAAAAAAAATATGCACATTTTATTATATTATTAATTACGTACCACCAGAATTTACAAAATTAAAAACATTAGAGTCTGTTGGAACACAGTCGAAGTCAAAATTCTCATCATTATCTCCACTGATGAAGGTGTTGGATCGTGCGCAAACTCTTCACTTCCCGCCATGATGCATTTGCAGATTTGACCTGCAGCAGCGTCCTTTGACCTAATGGGTCAAGTTGGTTATTAACCAATCAGAATGCTATGTTGTCCCGACGCAATTCTTCGGAAATTCCCGAAGACTGAATTGAATTGATTTCAGCGAATAAACGACATGGTTTTTCCAAAAAACTAGTAACTAGCCATTTTTGAGAGGTAAACTGAATATGGCATAAAATAATTACCGCATTTTACTTGTAATAACAGATCATTGTCGAAGCGTAGTTTACGCAGGTTGCCGTGGTCTACGCATTCACAACATATTCACAGCGGTCGATATCCACGCTGTATCATATAAAAACGATTACCAAGATTCGTTACGCAAGACCAAGTTTTAAATTAGTTGCACTTTGAAGGGGTGGGCGCTTTGCCGAATGTGACCCCAAATATAAAAATTTTGCAAAAGTGGGGGGTGGGTGCTTGCCTGGGCATGGGCGCTAACGCGGTAGAGTATGGTACTATGGAGGAAGCATACCTGATATCTGCCTTCTTTATTAAATGCTTTGCATCATTAGTATTTGGTGAAGTACTGTTTCCAAGAGCTGATCCTCTCTTTTTATCATTGACACGATGACCTGCCAAGTGAAACATATGTGCGTGTCAATACCTCTAAGAAGAAAAATAAACTAAGAAACCACAAGCTTAAACTCAACACATAGAAGATGGTTCAAGATGTAAATAGACAGTTACATTCAATGATACTTTCACAATACTGTAAAATGACTAACTTTCACAGGGTTTAAATTTCACTGATTTACCATTTCAGGCATATTCAGTGGGTTTTAAATTCATGGTTTTATCATTTAGGTAATGTGTTCTATGCTAAATTTTACATATTCACTGGGTTTTAATTTAGCACATTTTCCAGTCAGTGAAATAAGCAAAATTAAAACCCAGTGAATAATTAATCCTTTTACAGTAATGTGGAATACTTTATTTTCGCTGGAATTAATTTTCGCTGAAAAGGCTTTTTGGGCATTTTGTATGTAATTTATTTTCACTGATTTTTTATGAGTTTAATGTGAAATGTAGGAAAAAAAGTATATTCGCTGGATTTTATTTTCACGGAATCATCCCTTCAGCGAAAATAGCGAAAATAAATTCCAAGCGAAAATAAAGTATTCTACAGTATACCATTTACCATATACTACTCCGAGATCCTTTTTGTTACATGTAATATAACTGGACAAACATAGGTCATAGCACGTCAACACTTCGCAAGATATGCAACAAACACGAGTATTTGTTGGATAGTTCTACGCTTAATAATGTGCTACACACATTTGAGGATGGTCAATTTTGGTAAGGTCAGTGTATCACAACATACTCCCCTCTAAAAGCTTGGCATTTCAATGTTGAATAATAAACATGAGAAAGTTAAGTTCACAATCAAATCATTTGATTTTTGCGACAGACGTTCAAACCATGTTTTTCACACATAACGCAAGATCTCACAGTAAACAGGAAAGAACTTATTCATGTACCGGTACATTCATAATAGTGGAAGCTAACTGATAAAAGTGAATATGTTATGTTAGTATATATATATACTGCCCTCAAATGACTATAATGATTATATTTATTATGTATGGTACCTTCTTTTTGTTCTTCAATTAAGTCCTCTTGTGCCCATCTTATGGTATAGTGTTTTCCTAATGGAGGTATTTTAAAGTATTCAGAATCATCTTCATTATTTTTGATGAGTTCTTCTATAGCTTTCAGATCTTCCGATGTAATATCAGCACAGTAGGGTTCCACTGAGGCCCAGAATCTGTTTGGTGCATCATTTTTAGGTATTCTAGGCACATCCAGGGGGTCATCTGTGAATTCATATTCCTGCATCTTTTGCTGAAACAAATTTTTGAATAGATTTTTTAAGGTCCTAACATGAATATCATTACTGTATGAACACAGAAATAATCAGCTTTTATAAGCAGGTTTGTGAACATCATTTTATCACTTTGTCATTTTGATAATACAGAGGAGAAGATGAAGCTTTGATGAGTCTGAAAACAAACTGGTTTGAATATTACTGTAAAACCAGGTATTTTCCCTGACATTTTATTTCACTATTTTAAGGTTTTGAACATATTCAATCACTGTGTTTTAATTTCACAAATTTGTCAAGAAAACGGTGAGTTTCATTGTTATTTTACATGTCCACATAGATTTAATTTAGCGATTTTTACTTATCATGACTAATTAATGCATTTACAGTAATATTTAACACCAACAAATGAGTATATACTGTAGAGATATTTCTTGAGAAATTCATTGCAGGTAGGAAGGTCCTTGGAAGCAATGCTCCACCACTTTACAACAAAAAATAACAATACTCACCTGTATATTCTTCTTGGATTTAGGTCTTCCTGGACCAGAATGTGCTGTGCTAGAGCCAAGCTTTCCACTGGTTTCTTTAAATTTTTTGGAAGGTCGTTTATCGTGTTTGTCATCTGGTGGTCTACCACGTTTTCCCGTTGATACAGATTCTGATTTGTGCTGTAGTTATTGTAAGATAGTTACAAAATGAGCATGCAGTCATGACAATCTGTAGGTAGGCAGAAGCTCTGGTCACTTTAAAAACATAGTCCAAAGTTTATGGCTGCTGGTGTACATGAGACAAACTGCCTATGTAAACCGCATTCAACTGTTCTTTGATAGAATTTCTCAACCAATTAGAGCAATGTCCCACCAAACAAAGCTATGATGTTCTAGAAAGTACCCCTCAAGATGGCCAATTTTTTCTAATAGTTCGCTAGAAAACTTTATTTAAATTTTTAAAAATATTTTTGCGCTAGGTGACAAATCCATAAATAGAATGTTTTTTATGTTGAAATTGCAAGTGTGAGTGCATATTTGCCACAGAAGCCATATTAATGCTTGAGACTTCATGCCAGGACTGTTTAATGCACTATTCTGGCATCGAATATGATCATTTGAATACACGCATTTGCAGAACTTAAAGCGCGGTAGTCGTCGCGCTGTGCATGTGCGAGATATATGGGTCTCATATAAACAAAGATGGCGACTTTGACTGTTGCGCAGATCAACGAGTACGAACTGAGAAGTTTCTAAGCTTTAATTGAGTAATTTTCATGTTATTGGAAGATATCGAAGGAGTCACCGGCGGTAATCAGTGCAAGTTGAGCCCAGGTCAAACCTCATACTTGTGATTTCCATTTGAAGAGCGCATTGGATTGTGGGAAAATCAATGTTTATCAACACAAATGTCACACATGCGCAGCATGATGACTACCGCGCTTTAACTAAAGTTCCAGAAAATTCACATACATTTGTGGATGACTATATAACATAATTTTTTTCTGAAAACTGTCTATGCACAGTACTGCTTTCATCCAACCTGTCATTAGCATAACATATTTTTTCCAACTATTACATTGTACATTTCATACTTTTATGCACTCATTACAATACTAAGGATAATATAGGCTAACTCAGTCATTGAAATTTAATTTTTATACTAAATTATTTCTTAAAAGAAATGATTTTGAAAAGAACTCATGGATATTGGATTATAATGTTCAGATTCTTTATTTTAGATGAGTAACTTACAAAAAATATGTCTTACCATTTTGCCACCTCCCTTTTTATCTTTTTTTTCTTGCCAGTCTATGAGCACTTGTGTTTCTGCTTCTAGTTGTCTCATTCTTTTTGACGATGCAGCAAGAAGTGTTTCTAATTCTAACTGCAGGGTGTCTAGTTCTTCCACACCAATGCCCTCGTCTTCTGTTCTTTGAGTCACTAATAAAATATATACTATATTCTAGTAACTATATTCTAATACTAGACATGTGTGGTTTTTCATAACACCACATGTTGCCTCTATACATGTAGCCTTAAATAAATGTTTAACCATAATTAGAGGCAAGTTTATGGTCAAAGTAAGTCATAGTCTTAGTATACTGTAAAATGCTTTATTTTAGCTGGAATTAATTTTTACTGAAAAGACATTTTTGGGTGTTTTGTATGAAACTTATTTTCGCTGTTTTTTGACGAGTTGAATGTAAAATATAC